CAAAGTAAATAAATAAATAAATAAATAAATAAATCTTGCATTTGTCCCTGTTGAACTTCCTTGTGTTAGTTTTGGCTAATCATCTCTCTTATCAATTAAGATGGTTTTGAATTCTGCTCTTATCTTCTGGGGTATTAGCTCTCTGTGACGGCGCGAATGGTGCCACCTATGTGTAGAACTTTAAAGTGCAAAGGTTTAAACTGTATAACATGCCCATACTTGCTTACTTTGTAAATGTATAGTTGGATTGATTGGTTATTTATAGCTGTCAATCAATGTTGTTTGCACCAGTTATATTGCTTCCTCAGCTCAATTGCCTGGCTCCACTTCTTCCTGGAGGAGGGCAGAGCTTTTCCTTTTCCATTCTACCATCAAACTTTCTATCAGATAGACGTGAAAAAGAGACTTGGCTATAAAGCCCTTAATTAAGTTACCTCTCATCACCATTTCTAAGGTTTTTACCCTTGGGACTCATATTTCATGTCCAGATCGCCCTGGACAACCCTGAGAGACCCAAGCGCCTTCAAACCGGTCCTTTGGCATCAAAAGGAAGACTCTGTGCCTTCAACATAGGCCATTGGACTGGGGGTTGTTTTTGTTCTGACCTTCACAGCCATTGAGAAAAGAGGGAACAGAAAAAACTTCTCAGCTGCGAAATCTCCTTGGATCCAAGACAACCGGAGACTGTAATGTATATTTCCTTTACCCCCTTTGAAACTTCCAGCTTATTGCCTTAAAGAGATAACTCTTTGTGAACAATAAAATCTATTTTGAGTTATCTACAGTATTTTGGTCCTTGGCATAGTAACTGTTGCCAAAACTCCCAGGTTCAGACTACACAGGGAAGCCATTGAAATCCACAAGCGTGTGGACAATTTCAACAGAAAGGAGGAAACCATGAAAATGAACAAAATCTGGCTACCAGTATTAAAAAAAACTCTAAAAATAAACCAGCAAAACAACAGAGGGAAAACAATCAGGGACATCTAATCACCTCTCAACAAAAGATTGCTCCAGGCAATGCTAATAAAGGTGGTCAGTTGAAACATTCACACCTAGCTCCAGCAGACAAGAGCTTTTTGCCCCACCATGGTCTTTCCATAGATATATAAACCCTTTTTCCTAGTTCCAACAGACCTCACTACCTCTGAGGATGCTTGCCATAGATGCAGACGAAACATCAGGAGAGAATGCCTCTAGAACATGGCCATATAGCCCAAAAAAAACCTACAACAACCCAGTGATTCCGGCCATGAAAGCCTTCGACAATACAAAAAAGAAAATGTAAAAATTCTTGCAGGTTTGATGAAGTCAGTTATTGAGAGAGCAAGGTTGTTTGAGACAAGAGGTTAGCGAGGACAACAACAATATTTTCATCTTGAAGGTCAGAAGTTCCTTTTCCATTTTTATTTTATGATTATTGTTTTTAGTGTCTTGGGACTTCGTCACATTAAGGCAATTAAACGGATGAAAATGTTTGGCTGAATAGAGCTCCATTTTCCTATGAAATGGAAGAATTGCTTACCATCATCACACTTCCATGCAACTCAGTATGTACGAGGGTCGAATGAAAAGTAATGCCTCCACCTTCGTCACTTGAGTTTGGGTGGGAATATTTTAATAAATCAAATGCAGAAATAATCCTTAGAATGTGTTCTTTAACTTGCTTGAAATTTCTCTCTGAATGATACAACGATCATCCTGAATCAATTTGTCAACCTTTTGCTTGTGAAACTCGGTGGTTGCTGTCACAGGACATCCAACTCTTTGTTTGTCACGCAAGTCACATGTTCCCACCTCAACATTTTTAATCTTACTCACCCAACGATGCACAGTACTCAGATCAACAGAATCACCATAAACAGCTTGCATTCTCTGATGAATCTCCTTTGGGGTGACACCTTCTGCTGTCAAGAATTCAATGACTGCACGTTGCTTAAGTTGCATTGACCGACTGTCTTCGCAGGGTTCCATACTTCGCACTTTCACAACACACCCGTTCAATGCTATGGTTTCCCGCCAAAATGGAACTGTAGAGGAGAGTCTACTGAACAAGCCAGTACCTGTCGCATACCAGTACTGGCATCTGTTGAGGAGTTACGAAGGTGGAGGCATTACTTTCCATTCAACCCTCATATCAGCATTCTTGGAGTTGCTTTCTCACCGTATTACAGTTCTAATGGCCTGCCCACCATCCCTCCCCCTGCAATATTTGCTGAAAGAAATCCTCCAACCTTTGAAATCTTCTGCTGTACTAACGTGAGATCTGAGAGGTTTCTGAGCATGCTCAGATTGTCCCTGGGGATTGCTGCCAAGAAGAGAGGAGGGAAGGAGGAAGAAAGAGGGATTAGGTATTTCTGTTCCATTTCCCAGGAGCCTGATTTGCCTTACTTTATAGATGCTTGAGGTCGCTTCCTCTTGCATTTTCTCCCAGGGCTGCTGCAGCTTTGCAAGACTCTTAAAAGTTAATAGTATCAGAGTCTTCAGGCCTCTTTGCAACTATTGGCTTAGAGAGCAGCTCTTTGAGTTTAGGGACCACCTTTTCTCCCAGGGAAAGATCTCCATTTTAGATTCTCCCCTGCCTTTTCAGTTTGAGGAAAGACTTCAGATGTGCTGGCCAGGCAATTAGCTCTGGGGAAACCATTGCAAAAACTAAATTGAGTAAGCTATATTAAGCTACAGATAGTATATTATACATTATAGATAAGTATTAAGCTATATTGAGATAATATAGATAGTATATTGTGTTTTGAGCTGTTTTGAGATATTATAGACAGATAAGCTTAATTGAGAAGGTTGAGTTATATAGTTATAGAGAGAGAGACTTTACTGCTTTGTCTCCAGAACTAACCTTAAGTTATAGATAGGGGAAAACCTGTTTTTTTCTAAACCACAACAGCTTAAGGTTAGGGTGTAAAGATTCCAGGATCTTATCTGGCATCTGGAGAAAAGGTTACCTCTGTAACTAAAGAAAAGAAATAATATTTTTGTAGCTTCATCTATTGACTGTTTGTTTGCAACGTTGATGAACTGTGCCAAGTCTTCAAGGACTTTAAATAAATAAATATCCTTTTTTGATGCTTAAACCAGTAATAGCCTCAGTTGCTGAGTATCTCGAGCTTCTCAATATAGACACCTGCAGTTCGCTCAGGCATAGCGTCGCAGTTTTATTTTTTATATCGTCTGGGCAGACGGCACATTTTCAGTGTTATTTCTGGCATGTGGGAAGGGGGACAAACACTGCAACTTAGCTGTATGTGCTCTGGGAACAAAGGTGTATATACACTGCATAATATTTTCATAATCATATACAAACAAATTACTAGGGGATACTTGCATCAATGCATATTGCAACTAGGCTTTGAAGCTGCAAGACTATTCAATGCTAATTAAAGCAGCCAATTGCAACCATTCCCACTTCCCACAGAGGATGCCTGCCACAGATGTGGGCAAAACATTAGGAGATAATGCTTCTGGAACGTGACCAGACAGCCCTGAAAGGTGCTAAAGTTTAATTGAACTCAGTGGGACTTATTTCCAAGGAAATTTATCTTGAAGTGACATTATCTAGGGCCCCATCTACACTGCCATATAATCCAGTTTCTGAATCCCAAAGATCTGGATACTTGCATCATTGCATATTGCAGCCAGGCTTTGAATTGGGTCCTCCCACAATTTCTTGTCCCACAAATTGGGTAACTCTACACCTGAGAGCAACAAATGCTATCACATTAGAGATCTGGCAAAACATCCAGAGAATTGAGAAAAATCCATTTTGACACCTTTTCCTGATACATTGGAAAAAAATACTGCCCCTGTTATACTCCAGGACAGGAAAAGCCCTCTGACTGTAAACACCACACCGTTGATTGGAAAGCAATCATTTTATTGAAGATAATTAAAAAGCAGCAAGTAAAAAGCACTTTAAAGAAATAAGTAAAGCCAATTAGGTTTGAAGATAAGCAGGAGCAAAAATAGTCCAGGGTAAAATTCAGCAAAGTCCATAAAAACAAAGTTCACACTTCTCTAAATATAATTCAGGAAAACAGGAAACATTAATCCAAGGCATTAGTAGGCATTCATACAATCCAAGAGTCCTAACCATGAACAAGAAATACTTAGACAGGAATCTCCAAAGCAAAGCTTCCATGAAACAAAGGACGAGAACTACACTTGATTCCAATGATGCTTCATCTGACTATATTTCCCATACTTGGAACTTTTTATCCCCTCATTAAGCTATTCCACACACTCAGGAATTGGTTTCGTTTTACTTGAGATTCCCTTATCTTTTTCTGTCGGAACCTGGCAGAACACCGAAGACACTGTTCGGCCTGTCTGTTTTGACTAATTTCCTCTCGCCTATCTATTTGCTCATTAAGTCTCGCAGCCGGGCCAGGTGCCCAGTTGTTTTCAAGCCTCAAATCCTGGCAGCCCTCTGGTAGCAATTCAGGGAGTACACTATCATCCCCACACCCTTCAGGGACATTCTCATGGGAAACTACACTTTGCACAGGGGTCTCCTGGTCCTTCGCTGCATCAGTATCATTGACCAAAACATTGCCATCTTGAAATTTATTGGCCTCACTTCCCACATCCAAAGCGCCCTGATCCTGAAACACAATCACAGGCAGAACTCCAACAGCCCACTACGTTTAAAAGACTCAAAGAATGCTATACTCTACACTTTAACTAAAACTAATGTGATGAACCCAGTGGATTACCAGATTTTAAGTATAGAACTCAGTGGAATTTAACTAATGTGATGAAGTGGCAAGTGGTATAAGTGATGTATTGGGAAAATTACTGACTTTACAAATTGTATAATGATATTTCTATCGCTGGAAAATGCTAATAAATATATAGAATAAAAAAGTAAAAAGTTAGGACAAGATTGCATTGTAGGTTAGAAGATGCAAGCAAAAGCCAAGACATTTGTTAGGGGGACATTACACACAAAGGAATCAGTTGTAATCAACACAGAGCCACAAACGAATGGGTTCTTCTTTCTCTTGCCAGCCTCGCCTTCCCTTCGGTCCAATGCTTCTTCTGCAGAAAAGGTCCTCCCATTTAGTAACACAATACAAAGCAATCCTAAAAAGAGAGAAAATAAAGGATTTGTTTCCAGTATTTTGTCCAAAAACATCCTGCCTCAAAAATGTTAGATAGAAATTCATGGGCACTTAATCCATGTGTTAAACACAGTTCTGATGGACATGTGACAAACACCTGGGGAATGACTAAGGGGGTATGATGAAATACCAGAAGGGATTGCGGAAATGGATGAATCATGGTCCTGTGAAATGAGGACTGGAGGTTGCATCATTCATTTGTCCCTCAGTGATGACAAGTCACCAGGTGCCTATATAACAGGAGTTCCCAACTTTTTTTTCTCCAGGGCCCAATTGACCAAGGACCACTTTAACCAGGGTCTGCTTGATCGGGGCCTGCTTGACCAAGACCCATTTGACCAGGGCTCACTTTGACCAGGGCCCACTGTGACCAGGGCCCACTGTGACCAGGGCCCACTTTGACCAGGGCCTACTCTGACCAGGGCCCACTTTGACCAGGCCCACTTTGACCAGGGCCTACTCTGACCAGGGCCTATTTTGACCAAGGCCCTCTTGTCCAGGGCCCACTTTGACCAAGGCTCACTTTGACTAGGATCCACTTTGATTACTTCTTCTACAGTGTAAATGCGCCCCTAAGCCAATATACAAACCCCTGAATTATGTTGCCTCCCATATTATATGATAATATGTCAAAGTAAGCAGCCATACCCTGTAATAGTAAGTTGCATGACCGATGGTTAGAGTTTCTGGATATCGCATGAGTGGGAATCCATGGGCACAGCGTTCTGAAAGAAAGAAATTGGATGAATTTAGGCACTGAAAGAGATGCATGGTTTCAGAGAGATGACGCAAGTCCCAAGGTTCACACCTTATTGGTTGATTGATTTGCAATGTTTGCCTTTCTTCCTCATCATCATCATCATCATCATCATCATCATCATCATTTAATTACTTATTAATCGCCCTCCATCCGAGAATGCTCTAGGCACTCTTTGCAAGTTAGAGACCTATAAGTTTAGAACATCTTGAAATAAATGGCACTGGGACCATGCAAACTAGAGGGTTAAAAAATCACACATAAATACATAAAGAATATTGTAAAGGCTTTCGCGATGCCACAGCTTTTTGTTTGGCACCGAAACATTACTTTAGTTGGTGTATGTATGGGGTTTCTGCTGGTGTACCGCCCACCCCGCGACCCAGCAGTTTCCCTGTCTGAGCTAGCAGAGGTAGTCTCCAATTCGGCCCTGTCTTCCCAGCGCTTGGTGGTGCTGGGAGATTTTAACATCCATGCTGAGACCTCCTTGTCCGGCACAGCTCAGGACTTTATGGCCACCATGACAACCATAGGACTGTCACAAATTATATTTGGACCCACCCATCAGGCTGGACATACACTCGACCTAGTTTTTGTGGCGGACAGCGGAATGATCAGAGTGGAAGAACAAAACATCCTTTCGGTGTCATGGTCTGATCACTATCTGATCAGTTTTAGACTCTCTGCGACCCTTAACCTTCGCAGGGGTGGAGGACAGATTAAAATGGTCCGCCCTAGGAGACTGATGGATCCAGATGGATTCCTAAGGAACCTTGGGGTTCTTCCTGCCTTGGAGCCTGGCGACTCTATCGATGCCTTGGTGGATCTCTACAACAGGGAGATGTCCAGGGCGATAGATACGATCGCTCCCGAACGCCCCATCTTGTTGCGTCATGACAGGCCGTCTCCCTGGTTCACTGGGGAGCTGGCCACGATGAAGCATATGAGAAGGGAGCTAGAGCGCAAGTGGAGGAGATCTCGGGACCTGTCCGATCAAGCACGGGCTAAAGCCTCTCTTAGGGCATACTCCGTGGCTATACGGGTGGCCAGGGAATCTTTCATGACCGCCCGTATAGCGTCTGCAGCAAATAGATCATTGGAGCTGTTTCGGGTTGTCGGGGAACTCCTTCACCCACCTGTGGTGGAGGAGGCCCCTGACGACCCAGCAGCTCAGTGTTGCGATTTCGCACACCATTTTGCAGGCAAAGTTGCTCAGATACGCCTTGAGCTCGACTCCAATTTCATCGCAGTGCCAGAAGAGGTGATGGAGGTATCTGCTTGTCCAATCTTGTGGGATTCTTTTAGGCTTGTTCTTCCTGAGACCGTGGAAGAGGTCCTTGGGGCTGTGAGGGCAACCACCTCAACCCTAGACCCTTGCCCTTCTTGGCTCATTAAATCTGCCTAGGAGTGGTTGGTTGATTGGTTTGCGTTGATCATTAACGCATCGTTGGAGCAAGGGATTTTTCCATCTAATCTGAAGCAGGCTGTGGTTCGTCCACTCCTCAAAAAGGCTTCCCTTGACTCCACGGTGCTTAACAATTACAGGCCAATCTCCAACCTCCCTTTTTTGGGTAAGGTGCTGGAGCGGGTGGTCGCCTCCCAGCTCCAGGGCTTTTTAGATGACATCAACTACCTAGATCAGTCACAGTCTGGTTTCAGGCCTGGTCACGGCACCGAGACAGCCTTGGTCGCCTTGGTGGATGACCTCCGCAGAGAGCTGGACAGGGGGAGTGTGACTCTGTTGGTTCTCTTGGACATCTCAGCGGCTTTCGATACCATCGATCGTGGTATCCTTCTGGGTCGTCTCTCTGGGATGGGCCTTGGGGGCACGGTTCTGTCGTGGCTCCGATCCTTCCTGGAGGGACGAACCCAGATGGTGAAGCTGGGAGAAGCCTGCTCAGATCCCTGGCCTTTGACCTGTGGGGTCCCGCAAGGCTCTATTTTGTCTCCCATGCTTTTTAACATCTACATGAAACCGCTGGGAAAGGTCATCCGGAGTTTTGGAGTTGGGTGCCATCTTTACACAGATGACGCACAACTCTACTACTCATTTCCACCCAATTCCAAGGCCTCTCAGATGCTGGACAAGTGCCTGGCCGCTGTGTCTATCTGGATGAGGAAGAACAAGCTGAAGATCAATCCCGACAAGACAGAGGTCCTCCTGGTCGATCGCAAACTGGATCGGGGTATAGGGTGGCAACCTGTGTTGGACGGGGTTACACTCCCCCTGAAGCCACAGGTCCGCAGTTTGGGAGTCCTCCTGGATTCATCACTCATGCTTGAGGATCAGGCCTCAGCGGTGTCCAGGAGGGCTTTTGCACAACTGAGACTTGTGCGCCAACTGCGACCGTACCTCGCGAAGGCTGATCTGGCCGGGGTGGTCCACGCCTTGGTCACCTCTAGATTGGACTATTGCAATGCGCTCTACGTAGGGCTGCCCTTGAAAACGGCTCGGAAATTCCAACTGGTCCAACGGGCAGCAGCCAGGATGTTAACCAGGGCTCATTACAGAAAGAGGTCAACCCTCCAGTTTAAGGAGCTCCACTGGCTGCCGTTTATTTTCCGAGCCCAATTTAAGGTGCAGGTGCTCACCTACCAAGCCCTGAACGGTTTGGGACCACCCTACCTGCGTGACCGCATCTCCGTCTACGAACCCACACATTCACTCCGGTCATCTGGAGAGGCCCTGCTCGTGATCCCGCCTGCTTCGCAAGCGCGCTTGTTGGGGACTCGAGACAGGGCCTTTTCTGTGGTGGCCCCCCGTCTCTGGAACGCCCTCCCAAAAGAGCTTAGACAGGCCCCTTCGCTGGCAGTCTTCAGAAAGAACTTGAAGACCTGGCTGTTCTGATGTGCCTTTTCAGATTAGGAACCCCAATACCAAGTCCTAGAAGCACTTTAGTAACTGAGATCACTGCACACCGCACACTGCACTTACTTATAATCCTACATACCTCCTGCCACATCAGCACTTTTAATCTTGTACCCACTACCCTGGCCTGGCCTGGCCTAGTTTTATAGTGTCTTGACGTCTTGATGTATTGTTATTGCTGTTGTTTATTCTGCTTAACTGTTTTTAATTTGCTTCAGGTATTGTATTGTTGTATTGTGTTTTGTGGCCTTGGCCTGTGTAAGCCACATCGAGTCCTGCAGAAGATGCTAGCGGGGTACAAATAAAGTAATAATAATAATAATAATAATAATAATAATAATAATAATAATATGTGAGCCTCTTTATGTGGAGTGTCCTGTAACTCACGCATCATGATGCCAAGTCAGGAAGAAAAGCAAATGGTCACATTTGTGGAGGATCCCAAATTGGGGGGTTGGTGGGAAATGACCCCAGAGAACAGGATCGGGAACCAAAATGACCTTAGTGGATGAGAGAGCTGGGCCAAAAGGAACGTCAACAGGGAGAAATCTATAGCACTACATGTTGGAACTTTGGTTTACATGTAGTGAAATATTGTTTGTAGTTTAAATTCTGTGTGCGGTGTAGGGAGACCAAGGTGCTTGCTTATAAAGCTATTGTCCTCCCAACCCTGCTATATGCCTGCGAGACGTGGACTGTCATGTCACATGCAACTCCTGGAACGATTCCATCAGCGCTGCCTCCGGAAAATCCTGCAAATCTCTTGGGAAGACAGGCGGACAAACGTCAGCGTGCTGGAAGAAGCAAAGACCACCAGCACTGAAGCGATGGTCCTCTGCCATCAGCTCTGCCGGAATGGCCACGTTGTCCGAATGCCCAACCACCGTCTCCCAAAGCAGTTGCTCTTCTCCGAGCTCAAGAATGGAAAATGGAATGTTGGTGGGCAGGAAAAGAGATTTAAAGATGGTCTCAAAGCCAACCCTAAAAATCATGCCATAGACACCAATAACTGGGAAACCCTGGCCCTTGAGCACTCCAGTTGGAGGTCAGCTGTGACCAGCAGTGCTGCAAAATTTGAAGAGGCATGAATGGAGGGCGAAAGAGAGAAATGTGCCAAGAGGAAGGTGCATCAAGCCAACCCCGACCGGGACTGCCCTCCACCTGGAAACCAATGCCCTCACTGCGGGAAAACAGGCAGGTCAAGGATAGGGCTCCACAGTCACCTATGGACCCACCGCCAGTCCACCAATCTTGGAAGACAATCCTACTTGGACAACGAGGGATCGCCTAAGTAAGTAAGTGGCAGGGCTGTTTGTTATTTTCTTTGATTGCTATGTGTTGCCTAAAAAGACACTACAAATTCCATACTTTCAAGCCTATACTTTCCTAACTTGCGAAATCAGCTTACAAGGCCCCAAAAGCTCTCAGGGCTATTTGTTATTTTCTTTGTTTGCTCTGCGTTGCCTAAAAAGACATTACAAATCCCATACATTCAAACCTCTCCTTCCCTAACTTGTGAAATCAGCTTCCAAGGTCCCAAAAGGTCTCTCTCCACCATTAATGAAGCAATTCGGAAATTTCAGAAAGTTCCAAAAAAGCTGACCAACTGTGGAATCTGCTGCCTAGGCATCAAGTGGTGTCTCCTTCTCTGGAGGCTTTTGAACAGAGGCTGGGTGGCTATCTGTTGGGAGGGCTTGTGTTATATCTTCCCCACATGGCAGAATGAGACTGAACTAGATTGCCTTTGGGGGGGTCCCTTCCAAGTCAATGAGGAAGGGAATAAGCTATTGGACAGCACTTAGATGTCAAGGGGTAACTTATCCCGTAGAGACGCTCAACTGCAAGTTCTTCCCTGACCATCTGGGCAAACTCTCCTGTGTTTCTTTCTGGCAAACGAGAGGCTGCTTCTGAAAATGTTGGATCTCAGTCACAGCAAATACCTTGACTTCATTCAGGGAACTTACCATTGAGGTGAGGCATAAGCAATACATTCAGAATATCCCTGCAGTGATTCAGCAGAAGGTTAACCTAGAAGAGATTAAAAAAGTACATGGCTCAGATCTGGCTCAGGGTTCAATCTTTGGTCCCGTCTCATTGTTCTCCTTACACAGCCAGCCCTCCACATTCACGCATGAAAGTGAAGATCCACAAATTAAGGACATGAGATAGATAGATAGATAGATGATAGATAGATAAATAGAGAGAGAGAGAGAGAAAGGTAGATGATAGATAGATAGCTCTCAGGTTGTCTGGGTCTTCCAGCAGGACACTATGGTCAACTTTTGCTGGAAACTGACCATATTACCCCATTGGAGTTGCACAGAGAGGTGTTCTCTCTAGAGATCTCCAAGTCCTCCAGCGCGATGGAGGAAATTGGTCATAGTGTCGTGCTGGAGGATCTGCAGATTCCAGGAGATAACATTTTTTAAAATCCCTGAATAATCAAATCTGCAAAAGCCAAACTCACAAAAGTGGAAGGACGACCATATATTCATTTGCTTGTTTTATTGCCAAGGCGTTCTTTTAATTTGGAGTTCGGTGCCATCTCTCCCAGATGACACTCAACTCTACTACTCCTGTTCCAAGGAAGCCCCCCGGATCCTTGACCAGTGCCTGGCCACTGTGATGGACTGGATGAGGGCTAACAGGCTGAAACTTAATCCTGACAAGACAGAGGTCCTCCGGATCAGTTGTGGGGCCAATCGGAGTATAGGGTGGCAACCTGTGGTCGACGGGGTTACACTCCCCCTGAGGACTCAGGTCCGCAGTCTGGGGGGTCTTCCTAAATTCCGCTCTGACGGTTGATGCTCAGGTGTCAGCAGTGGCCAATTCAAGTTTGTGCGCCAGCTGCACCTGTACCTCATGAAGTCCGACTTGACCATGGTGGACCATGCCCTAGTTATCTCCAGATTGGATTATTGCATTGCACTCTATGTGGGGCTGCACTTGAAGACGGCCCGGAAATTGAAATTGGTGTAAAGTTCAGTGACCAGATTATTAACTGGAGCAAGCTACAGGGAGTGGTCAACCCACCTGTTCAAACAGCTCCACTGGATGCCAATGAGTTTCTGGTGCCAATTCAAGGTGCAGGTGATTATCTACAAAGCCCTAAACAGTTCAGGACCTGCCTATCTTCGCAATCACATCTTGCCCCATCAACCAACATGAGCCCTAAGATCATACGGGGAGGCCCTTCTCTCGCTTCTGCCAATGTTGGTGGGGACGAGGGAGAGGGCCTTCTCGGTGGTGGTCCCCTGGCTCTGGAACACTCTTCCTACGGAGATCAGAGGGGCACTTACCCTATCCATCTTCCACAATAACTGAAAAACATGGATGTTCCACTGTGCCTTTGACTAGGTAGTTCCAAAGAATTGGCCCAATGGGTTGTTGTAGGTTTTTTCGGGTTGTATGGCCATGGTTTAGAGGCATTCTCTCCTGACGTTTCGCCTGCAAGCATTCTCAGAGGTAGTGAGGTCTGTTGGAACGAGGCAAAAGGGGTTTATATATCTGTGGAATGACCAGGGTGAGACAAAGGACTCTTCTCTCTTGGAGCTAGGTGTGAATGTTTCAACTGACCTACCTCGATTAGCATTTGATAGCCTGGCAGTGCCTGGGGCAAACTTTTGTTGAGAGGTAATTAGATGTCCCTGCCTGCTTCCTCTCTGTTGTTGTGCTGTTGCAATTTTAGAGTTTTTTAATACTGGTAGCCAGATTTTGTTCATTTTCATGGTTTCCTCCTTTCTGTTGAAATTGTCCACATGCTTGTGGATTTCAATGGCTTCTCTGTGTAGTCTGACATGGTGGTTGTGAGAGTGGTCCAGCATTTCTGTGTCCTCAAATAATATGCTGTGTCCAGGTTGGTTCATCAGGTGCTCTGCTATGGCTGACTTCTCTGGTTGAAGTAGTCTGCAGTGCCTTTCATGTTCCTTGATTCGTGTTTGGGCAATGCTGCGTTTGGTGGTCCCTATGTAGACTTGTCCACAGTGCATGGTACACGGTAGACTCCTGCAGAGGTGAGAGGATCCCTCTTGTCCTTTGCTGAACGTAGCATTTGTTGGATTTTCTTGGTGGGTCTGTAGATAGTTTGTATGTTGTGTTTCCTCATCAGCTTCCCTATGCGGTCAGTGGTTCCCTTGCTGTATGGCAAGAACACTTTTCCTCTGGGTGGATCTTTGTCTTTACTCTCGTGGCTTGTTCTTGGTCTTGCAATGGATACTCCACCTCAGACATCAGAAGAGCTGATGAGGAAACACAACATGCAAACTATCTACAGACCCACCAAGAAAATCCAACAACTGCTGCGTTCAGCAAAGGACAAGAGGGATCCTCTCACCTCTGCAGGAGTCTACCGTGTACCATGCAGCTGTGGACAAGTCTACAGAGGGACCACCAAACGCAGCATTGCCCAAACACGAATCAAGGAACATGAAAGGCACTGCAGACTACTTCAACCAGAGAAGTCAGCCATAGCAGAGCACCTGATGAACCAGCCTGGACACAGCATATTATTTGAGAACACAGAAAATGCTGGACCACACCAACAACCACCATGTCAGACTACACAGAGAAGCCATTGAAATCCACAAGCATGTGGACAATTTCAACAGAAAGGAAGAAACCATGAAAATGAACAAAATCTGGCTACCAGTATTAAAAAATTCTAAAATTGCAACAGCAGAGAGAAAAACAGGCAGGGACATCTAATCACCTCTCAACAAAAGTTTGCCCCAAGTGCAGTCAGGCCATTGTATGCTAATCAAGATGGTCATTTGAAACATTCACACCTAGCTCCAGCAGAGAAAAGCCCTTTTTCCCACCCTGGTCATTGCACAGATATATAAACCCTTTTTCCTAGTTCCAACAGACCTCACTACCTCTGAGGATGCTTGCCATAGATGCAGGCGAAACGTCAGGAGAGAATGCCTATAAACCATGGCCAAAAACCCTACAACAATCCAGTGATTCCGGCCATGAAAGCCTTCGACAATTGGCCCAATGTTACCTAAGTTCCAGCATTTTAGCCTGGCCCTCCGCTCTCCAATCCTGACATTGTAATGCCCAGGAACGTTATCCTCCCAGCCCTGCCTTCTGAATTTTGCACTTTCCCTTAGCTCTATCTAGGAATTTGCACAAACCCAGAGCCCTCTGAACTCAGCACTTTTATCGTTCTGTATGGTACTGTTTTTATGATGTTATGTTTTAGTGATATGTTTTTATTTAGTTTGGTTTTAATGCTATCTTATTGTGTTATGATTTTAACTATATGCTCTCTGGGCTTGTCCCTTTGTAAGCCACCCCAAATCCCTTAGGGGAGATGGAGGTGGGGTGTAAAAATAAAGTTGTTGTTGTCATTATTATAATTATTATTATTATTTATTACAAATACCTGGAGTTATGATGCACCAGAACAGATCAACTTACCCGGACAATCCCTAGTGCTGAAGAATGTAGTGAAATAGCGAGTCTAAGGAGCAAGAAAAAGAATATCATTATAATTGCAGTGACAAAAAAAAAAACATTTTTCCAGTGAATAAAATGGCTAAAATAGGCATATACTGTATCTGAATGCTGTTTCATACCACTTTAACTGCAACTGCTCAATTCCACTGAATCTTGGGAGATGTAGTTTGCTGAGTAACTAGAACAATGTTTCTCAACCTTCCTGGTGCTGCGACCCCTTAACCCAGTTCCTCATGTTGTGGTGACCCCCAACATTATTTTCATTGCTACTTTATAACTGTAATTTGGCTACTGTTATGTATTGTAATGTAAATATCCGACATGCAGAATGTATTTTCATTCACTGGACCAAACTGGGCATAAATACCCAATACATGGGGTTGGGGGGATTGATTTTGTCCCTTGAGAGTTGTAGTTGCTGGGATTTATAGTTCGCCTACAATCAATGAGCATTCTGAACTCTACCAACGATGAAATTGAACCAACCTTGGCACACATGACCTACAGAAAATACTGGAAGGGTTTGGTGGGTATTGACCTTGAGTTTGGGAGTTATAGTTCACCAACCTCCAGAGAGCACTGTGGGCTCAAACAATGATGGATCTGGACAAAATATTGGCACAAATACTCAATATGCCCAAATGTGAACAGTGGTGGAATTTGGGGAAAATAAAGCTTGACATTTGGAAGTTGTAGTTCCTGGGATTTATAGTTCACCTACAATCACAGAGCATTCTGAACCTCACCGACGAGAAAATTGGGCCAAGCTTCCCATGCAGAACCCCCACAACCAACAGAAAAATATTGTGTTTTCTGGTGGTCTTTGGCGACCCCTCTGACACCCCCTTGCGACCCCCCCCCCGGGTCCCGACCCCCAGGTTGAGAAACGCTGGACTAGAACTCTTTGGCAGAGAAGGCGAAAGACCTTGCAAAACTACCACTCTCAGTTTGCATGACTGTTAAAGTGGTATCCAACTGCATTCATTCTGCAGTAGAGAAGCACTCTGGGTGCCAGTTTGCAATAGTTTTGTTTGCAGAAAACAACGCAACAAAGCTTGGCCTGGGGAAGTATGGCATTTTATTTCAGCCAGTCCTGCTGTTACTAGTTGCTAGTTACCTTACCTTACATTTTACAGCACTAGTTTACTTACCTTACATTTTGCAGCAGGGGTAATGTGTTGGCAGAATGAGCAATTATTTCAAAAGTAACTTTCAGGGGAATACTAATCGTATCAGAAGCAAACCGAGGGTACAGCTGTAATGTATTTTTAAAACACTAGGTTTAAAGATGTAGCATTCTATTAAATGTCCTTTGACCAGTAGCTGGCCACTTGGAATGCCTCTGATGTCGCTGTGAGAAGGTCCTCCACTGTGCACGTAGCAGGGCTCAGGCCGCACTGTAATGAGTGGTCTGTGGTTTGCTCTTCTCCACACTCGCATTTCATGGACTCCACTCCCCATTTCTGAAGGTTGGCTCTGCATCTCGTGGTGCCAGAGCGCAGTCTGTTCAGCGCCTTCCACATCGCCCAGTCTTCTGTGTGCCCAGGAGGGAGTCTCTCATTCGGTATCAGCCAGGTTATTGCCTGCCACTTTTGGACTCTCGCTTGCTGAGGTGTTCCTGCAAGTATCTCTGTAGATCTTAGAAAACTATTTCTTGATTTAAGGCATTGGCGTGCTGGCTGATTAGCATTTGATGGCCTGGCAGTTTTGGTGTGGCTTGTTAGTGCCTGGGGGAATCTTTTGTTGAGAGGTGATTAGATGTCCCTGATTGTTTCCTCTGTTGTTTTGCTGTTGTAATTTTAGAGTTTTTAATACTGGTAGCCAGATTTTGTTCATTTTCATGGTTTCCTCCTTTCTGTTGAAATTGTCCACATGCTTGTGGATTTCAATGGCTTCTCTGTGTAGTCTGACATGGTGGTTGTGAGTGTGGTCCAGCATTTCTGTGTTCTCAAATAAAATGCTGTGTCCAGGTTGGTTCATCAGGTGCTCTGCTATGGCTGACTTCTCTGGTTGAAGTAGTCTGCAGTGCCTTTCATGTTCCTTGATTTGTGTTTGGGCAATGCTGCTGCGTTTGGTGGTCCCTATGTAGACTTGTCCACAGCTGCATGGTACACGGGAGACTCCTGCAGAGGTGAGAGGATCCCTCTTGTCCTTTGCTGAACGTAGCATTTGTTGGATTTTCTTGGTGGGTCTGTAGATAGTTTGTATGTTGTGTTTCCTCATCAGCTTCCCTCTGCGGTCAGTGGTTCCCTTGATGTCTGGCAAGAACACTTTTCCTCTGGGTGGATCTTGGTCTTGACTCTCGTGGCTTGTTCTCGGTGGTCTTGGAGCTCTTCTGATGTCTGAGGTGGAGTCTCCATTGGCCTGGAGAGCCCAGTTGAGGTGGTCCAGTTCATCTTGGAGGAGGTGGGCTTCGCAGATTCTTTTTGCACAGTCTGCTTCTTCAAATTGGGTTTCTTGGACTTGGCTATCAGGACCTTTCCATGGGTTTTGGTGTCTTCTTTGCGGTCCTGAGATTTTGATAATGATGCTGGGAGCTGTAGTTTGGTGAGGCACCAGCAGCTTTCAGTTTAATTACTCCCAAGATTCCATACAGCAATTACAGCCATGTCAAACTGCCTTCATTCTACGGTGTGAATATACCCCTGTTAAACATAATGTTAGTAATCATAGAATCAAAGAGTTGGAAGAGACCTCATGGGCCATCCAGTCCAACCCCATTCTGCCAAGAAGCAGGAATATTGCATTCAAATCACCCCTGACAGATGGCCATCCAGCCTCTGTTTAAAAGCTTCTAAAGAAGGAGCCTCCACCACACTCCGGGGCAGTGAGTTCCACTGCTGAACAGCTCTCACAGTCAGGAAGTTCTTCCTCCTGTTCAGATGAAATCTCCTCTCTTGTAGTTTGAAGCCATTGTTCCGCGTCCTAGTCTCCAGGGAAGCAGAAAACAAGCTTTCTCCCTCCTCCTTGTGGCTTCCTCTCACATATTTATACATGGCTATCATCTCTCAGCCTTCTCTTCTTCAGGCTAAACATGCCCAACTCTTTAAGCCGCTCCTCATAGGGCTTGTTCTCCAGACCCTTGATCATTTTAGTCGCCCTCCTCTGGACACATTCCAGCTTGTCAATATCTCTCTTGAATTGTGGTGCCCAGAATTGGACACAATATTCCAGGTGTGGTCTAACCAAGCAGAATAGAGGGGTAGCATGACTTCCCTAGATCTAGACACTATGCTCCTATTGATGCAGGCCAAAATCCCATTGGCTTTTTTTGCCGCCACATCACATTGTTGGCTCATGTTTAACTTGTTGTCCACAAGGACTCCAAGATCTTTTTCACACGTACTGCTCTCGAGCCAGGCGTCCCCCCATTCTGTATCTTTGCATTTCGTTTTTCCTGACAAAGTGGAGTATCTTGCATTTTTCACTGTTGAACTTCATTTTGTTAGTTTTGGCCCATCTCTCTAATTTGTCAAGATCGTTTTGAATCTGCTCCTGTCCTCTGGAGTATTGGCTATCCCTCCCAATTTGGTGTCGTCTGCAAACTTGATGATCATGCCTTCTAGCCCTTCATCTAAGTCATTAATAAAGATGTTGAACAGGACCGGGCCCAGGACGGAACCCTGCGGCACTCCACTTGTCACTTCTTTCCAGGATGAAGAGGAAGCCTTGGGGAGAATCACCCTCTGGGTTCATCCATTTAACCAATTACAGATCCACCTCACCATAGTTTTGCCTAGCCCACATTGGACTAGTTTCCTTGCCAGAAGGTCATGGGGGACCTTGTCGAAGGCCTTACTGAAATCCAGGTACGCTACATCCACGGCATTCCCCGCATCTACCCAGCTTGTAGCTCTATCGAAAAAAGAGATCAGATTAGTCTGGGATGACTTGTTTTTGATAAATCCATGTTGACTATTAGCGATGACTGCATTTGTTTCTAAGTGTTTGCAGACCACTTCCTTAACAATCTTTTCCAGAATCTTGCCCGGTATCGACATGAGGCTGACCGGACGGTAGTTGTTTGGTCATCCTTTTTTCCCTTCTTGAAGATTGGGACCACATTGGCCCTCCTCCAATCTGCTGGAACTTCTCCCGTTCTCCAAGAACTCTCAAAGATGGTTGCCAATGGTTCCGAAATGACTTCCGCTAGTTCCTTCAATACTCTTGGGTGTAGTTGATCTGGCCCTGGGGACTTGAACTCATTTAGAGCGGCCAGGTATTCCTGGACGACTTGTTTCCCAATTTGGAGTTGGATGTCCTCAAATCCCTCATCCACTCCGTCTTGCTGAGGTTGAAGATGACTTTCTTTTTGTGAGAAGACCGAGGCAAAGAAGGCATTAAGTAGTTCTGCCTTTTCCCTATCCCCTGTCAGCATTGCCCCATCTTCTCCTCGAAGAGGCCCTATCGCCTCCTTGTTTTTCCTTTTTCTACTGACATAAGAAAAGAAGCCCTTTTTATTGTTTTTAATCTCCCTGGCAAGCCTGAGCTCGTTTGTGCTTTAGCCTTGCGGACCTTTTCCCTACAGGTGTTGGCTATTTGTTTGAATTCTTCTTTGGTGATTTCTCCCTTTTTCCACTTCTTGTGCATGTCTCTTTTGTGTCTCAGCACAGTTAGAAGTTCTTTGGACATCCATTCTGGCTTCTTTGCACTTGTCCTATTTTTTCTTTTTGTTGGCACAGTTTGCAACTGCGCCTTGAGTATTTCACTCTTGAGAAACTCCCATCCATCCGTAACTCCCTTGTCTTTTAGTATCTGTGTCCACGGAATGCTGCTCAGTGTTTCCTTCATTTTTTGGAAATCAGCTCTCCTAAAGTCCAAAATGCGGGTTTGACTTGTCTTAGTTTTGGCCTTCCTTTGTACCTCAAATTGCAGGAGCACATGGTCACTTGCCCCTAAGGATCCTACCACTTCGACCGCATCGATCAGGTCCTCCGCATTTGTTAGGATGAGATCAAGAGTAGCCAATCCCCTTGTTGCCTCTTCTACCTTCTGGACCATGAAATTGTCTGCAAGGCAAGCGAGGAATTTGTTGGACTTTGTACTCTTGGCCGAGTTTGTTTTCCAGCAAATATCGGGATAGTTGAAATCGCCCATGACTACTACATCTCTTCTCTGTGCCTGTTTGGTCAACTGTTGGCAGAAGACTTCATCAAGTTCTTCCTCCTGGCTTGGAGGTCTGTAGTAGACGCCTGCAACAAGATCTTTTTGAGTCCCAGTTCCCTTGATTCTTATCCAGATGCTTTCAAGCTGGTTTCCCAGATTGCTGTCATGCATTTCTTCTGCAGCATAAGAGTTTTTGACATATAAGGCTACTCCGCCTCCTCTCCCCTTTGTTTGGTTTCTGTGAAAGAGGTTATAGCCCTCGATGTCTACATTCCAGCGATAGGAGTCATCCCACCAGGTTTCAGTGGTGCCTATGATATCATATTTGTGGTGTTGTGCTAAAAGTTGGAGTTCGTCATCTTTATTTCCCATGCTCTGTGCATTAGTGTAAAGACATGTGAGCCCCTGAGATCTTCCCCTGAGCTGTTTAATTGGGATTATTGTGCTTTCGGTACTTGGTCCTTTTTGTCAATCTAACAGTTTCATCAATCTAACAGTTTCACCAATGTTTGTCTGTATGACCCAGATCGGAGAACATTTTGTAGCAAAGAATGCAATTTGTACACAGAATTCCCATGTTGCGGAACATATACGTTTCCGGGTCCATTAGAGTACCTTTGGAGAAGGAAGAAGATTGAGAAACAGCTTGGCAGATTTCCAGGTGTTTATTTCATACTCCGGAGTAAGGGTGATCAATTCCCAAGCCTGTCACAACCTTAAGGTCGCAATTGTCCAGCTTTTATAGCATAAAATTGCTAGTTTTACACATGCGCAGAACAACTCTGAAATTTACACAATACAATCATTAACAAGAATTTTCATATATAATTGCCAAGGACATTCTCCTGGCAAGGACATCATGACCCCAAACATCTGTTCAATTATATAACTTCTCAACTTTCACCCATTATCCCCAGATGACACGTTCAATTGCTTTTAATTTCCTTAGATCTCTTAAATAAATTATAACTTTATATATGTTTTTAACATAAGAGTTGATCAAGGCACTCTCCTAATCAATCCTGCTGTAATTACTTTGTTTTTAATATGAAAACCAAAGGAACTTGCTTAAAATAAAAGCGTTTCTGAAATTGCCTGCTATTTAAGTAGTCAGAAGATGGCCCTCTCTCACCATATGACCTTAGATGTTCCAAGTCTTGGATCAATATATATTGATTTCTGCATGCTGCCAATTCTTTAGTTGTTTCTTCATATGTCAACATTTAGCTAAAACAAACATTTGGCCTGTACAAACATACAACCTTTGACCCGTTTGTTCTGACCTCATATTGATCAATACCATCTGTCGGTTTTTTCCCAATTTGCAAAATCTCCCTTGAGCTGTCTTCCCTGAATTCAGGTAGGAATCTTTCTAAATTATGATTATTATTTTATTTTTCTCCTAACGACCGCCACACCCATGCAACAAAAACCCCGCAATTGCATTCTCCTGTTGAGATCTAGAGACAGAAAATGGCACATCACTTACTTCTCAAGGCCCAAGGCTATCACTAGTATGCTGTTAGACACCGAGAACCGAACAACCAAAGTAAGGGTCTGGAAATATAGTTGAGAGAGTGAGAATGGTCTTTGGGTGAGAGTACATTCTTAATACAATCCTATATTTAAAACTGTTTCCTTTTTATGTATTGACAAAAGAATTAAGCTGAGTCAATCAGTGGTGAGAAGCTGAGTACTGAAACTAATAAAACAATAACTTATGTCCCTGGTGTTGGCCAAGTATGCATTTTCTAATGCCCCCACTCGTAAAATCATAAAGGTAATGATGCATGCTTCTAATAAACAGCACTAGAAAAATGCAACGCCAAGCATATCTGCTCCTGGAATCATAACAATTGCACTTTTACGAAGTCTTTAGGCTGCTTTGCCAAAGAGTGCTTGAGACTTACCAAGCCACAACTCCTCTAATTCCATAGTATGGGATCACAACATTGAAAGCATACATGGGCAAACTTTGACCCTCCAGGTGTTTTGGACTAGAAATAATGACCTACATATGTATTGTCGAAGGCTTTCATGGCCGGAATCATTGGGTTGTTGTAGGTGTTTTCGGGCTATATGGCCATGGTCTAGAGGCATTCTCTCCTGACGTTTTGCCTGCCTCTATGGCAAGCCATAGACGCAGGTGAAACACCAGGAGAGAATGCCTCTAGACCATACAACAATCCAATGACCTACATACTTGTGTATAAGTTGACCTCATGTATAAATCAAGGGTACATGTGGAGGTCAAAATTATGGATTTTGCAATGTTCCACAGACACATCATTCTGTGGAAAGGGAAGAGGGCCTGCAGTGGCTCTCAGGGATCAGCCATCCCTGGATGCCAGTGTTGTACATAAGCATGTTCAGCCTGTGATAGTGTCCAATGTTCATGTTGATATTCTTGATGAGAATGGGGATGATGTTCATGTTGATGTAATAGGGATACTGATTTGGTTCCTGGGCCAGGATCTGGTGAATTTGTGGGTGAGGGGTCAATTGGGCCTGAGTGGAGTTTAAAAGAGAGGCCAGAGAGGCCTGAGTCGGAATCAGCTTGGATTCAACAGAAGTTAGGTAGTAAACCAAAACTAAGAAAGAATCCGTTCCTAGCTGTTTAAGAGTCAGGGAAGAGTTTATAATGATGTATGAGAGATTATTGCTTCAGATGAGGCAACATTGTGATAACAGCAAGTTTCATGCACCAAGGTATGCCTAGCTCATGTCTTGTCCATGGGATATGCTTCTGTGTTGTTCATGGATTCAAGTACCTAGTTTCATGGATTTCCTTAGACTATTGATTCCTGCTTTCCTTTGTACCTGATGAACTAAATTGGATTTTTTTTTTACTGTGGATTACTTTTTACTGCTTTGGCTACATATATTAACTGCTTGCTGATTTTACCCAGCTAGTGTAGCATTTAAAGTCAGAGGTGATTCTGCTCTGGAGTGCGACAGCCAATTACATAAATATCCCACCTCTCTGTTCAATGGCACTGCCCATATAGAATAGCATGCGAACCAAATATCCCACCTCTCTGTTCAATGGTACCACCCATATAAAATAGCATGCAAACTAAATATCCCACCTCTCTGTTCAATGGCACTGCCCATATAAAATAGCATGCAAACTAAATATTCCACTGATCTGTTCAATTGCAGTGGACATATAGAATAGCGTGCAAACTAAATATCCCACCTCTCTGTTCAATTGCAGTGGACATATATAATAGCATGTAAACTAAATATCCCACCTCTCTGTTCAGTGGTACCACCCATATAGAATAGCATGCAAACTAAATTTTCCACCTCTCTGTTCAATTGCAGTAAACATATAGAATAGCATGCAAACTAAATACCCCACCTCTCTATTCAATGGCACTGCCCATATAGAATAGCATGCAAATTAAATATCCCACTCTCTGTTCAATGGCACTTCTCCCATAAAATAGCATGCAAACTAAATATACCACCTCTTTGTTCAATGGTACCACCCGTATAGAATAGCATGCAAACTAAATATCCCACCTCTCTGTTTAATGGCACTGCCCGTATAGAATCGCACGCACACTAGATATGCCATCTCTCCGTTCAACGGCAGTCCAGATATAAGAGCATGCAAATAGGAGCAGAGGCTGGTTAGACTGACCAGATACCTCTTTCCGACTGACCTGTCCAAATCCAATCAAGATAAGGAGGGCTCAGTCACCAAGGAATGTTGTTACTTACACAATTTATCCTGACCACCAACACAGTAGTTCCACCTGCAACCCTGGCGTACACGTCAAGAAAGGCAAAAGCTTCCACAATACACCTGTCCTTTCCCACAATAACCGCTGTAACTGCCAAACTGTGTACTTTGATGTAGATAAGACCCTGGAGGGAAAGGTAAGAGACATGTCATAATGTTATCAGTAGGGCCCTTGGAAGCCTCAGATGTGGGATTTTGTCATTCAAAAGCCATTTCCGAGCTCCCACATCGCCCTTTTGAAAGACCCCATCCTGTCAGCAAGTGAGCTTCTCTCGTTATGCAAGCAGAGGTGAGTTCAAGGTATCACACGTACCAGTGCTGATGCCTGTAAAAGAAAAAGGAAAAAGAATTTTGAGATTTCTGCGTCTTGGGAAAGTTTCTGGTTACATCCCGAATAGATTACTGCAACATACTCAACATGGGGCTGCTTTTGAAGACTGTTCAGAAACTTTAACTAGTCCAGTGGGCGGCAGCCAGACTGCTCACTGGAGCCCCATACAGGGAGCACACCACCCCTCTGCTATGTCAACTCCACTGGCTGCCGGTCCATTTCTGTGCACAATTCAAAGTGCTGGTCTTGGCCTATATAGCCCTAAACGGCTCCAGCCCAGCTTACTTGTCCGAACATATCTCCCTCTACATTCCACCTTGCAGTTTAAGATCATCTAGGGAGGCCCTGCTCTCAGTCCCACCTGCCTTGCAAACGCGTCCGGTGGGGACGAGGGACAGGGCCTTCTTGGTGGTGACCTCCCTCTTGTGGAACTCACTCTACAGCAAGATTAGATCTTCGTCCTCAATCCTTTCCTTTAGGAAAAAACTGAAATCGTGGTTTTGGAACCAGGCCTTTGGCTAGCAGGCACAAGGGCACTTTGGACATTGTACTGGACGATATGATTGTTATAATAATGGAAACGGCTATATGATTGTATAATAATCTTATTGTTGGGTTGTTGTAGGTTTTTTCGGACTATATGGCCATGGTCTAGAGGCATTCTCTCCTGACGTTTCGCCTGCATCTATGGCAAGCATCCTCAGAGGTAGTGAGGTCTGTTGGAACTAGGGAAAAGGGGTTATATATCTGTGGAATGACCAGGGTGGGACAAAGAACCCTTGTCTGCTGGAGCTAGGTGTGAATGTTTCGACTGACCACCTTGATTAGCATATAACGGCCTGACCGTGCCTGGAGCAAACGTTTGTTGAGAAGTAATTAGATGTCCTTGTTTGTTTCCTCTCTGTTGTTATGCTGTTGTATTTTTAGAGTTTTTTAATACTGGTAGCCAGATTTTGTTCATTTTCATGGTTTCCTCCTTTCTGTTGAAATTGTCCACATGCTTGTGGATTTCAATGGCTTCTCTGTGTAGTCGGACATGGTGGTTGTTAGAGTGGTCCAGCATTACAAGTGCAAGATGGAGATAGTTTGGTCAATGATTTTCATGCGGACAATAACAGAAAGGCCCCAGTGCAAAGGGCAGTTTCGCATGAGAATATTCCTGCTGGGCTTAAGGATGATGGTTTACTCCCTCTTTCTGTCAGCTCTCAAGATTTGAGTTTGGAAAACAATCTGACACCTGGAAATTTTAATGAGCAGCCAGAAAGGGAGTTGAAAAATAGGTGGCTAGAGTTCAGCCAGGATTGACAACAAAATGTTTACGTCGCTCCGAAAGGCTTCGTCAGATAAGAGGCAAGAGTGGAGGGAAACAAAATCATTTTTTGGGCTTTGGGATATAAGGTTTGCTTCAAGGGAAAGCCTGTTAGATCAAGCATTGTTTGGAAATCATGTTCATGTGCCTTGGAAATGCTGTTCAGGGGGTCTTGTTCTTATAGAGATTTTGAGCATTTTGCTGTGGTCTAGCACCTTCTGGATTATCTTTGCAACCCATTGATTCCTATCTGGATAAATACAGCCTTGGATTGTTTTTATATCTTTTGTGGACATGGCTTTGAATTACTGCATTGTACTGATCTTTTACATTTGGAAATTTTCCCATTTTTACAAGCATTTCTTTCTACTGGCTATTTTACTCAGCTTCAATAAAAAGGATTGGTTTTTCACTCAACGCATGGTGTGTTTTAAAGACAGAGGGTATCGTTTCTGTTCTGGAATGCAATATTTCTGGTCTTGTTTCTCACTTGAGACCAGAAACGAAGAGATTTTAAACAAACATAGGAGCTTTATGTCTGCAGAAATGAAAATGCATTGCTAGGTTTTTTTCAAAGATGCTACTTACGCCTGGCGGCATCAGGGTGAGAAGATCACGCCTAAATCTGTAGGCTCCCACAAACTGTTTTGGGAAAGAGAAGTAAGAACATGTAAGTCAATGACTCAGAGAGGCCATCTTTGTGTGTGTGTATTTATACTGCATAAACATACAAGAGTAATTATGATGATCTGCATAATTCAGTGAGTTACAGAGAACCCATTTGCATTGCAAAACTCATTGACAATCAGGTTTGACTCTCTCCAGAGCCCGCTTTCTAAAATCCATGCTTGCCATCAAGACAAGCTGAGATTACAAAGATGGTGGAAATAGCTGAAATGAACAAACTTGCAAAAGCGATAAATAACCACGCAAAGGGGAATCTTTTATCTACATAAACAAAAAATGTAAATGTCAGTTTGTTCATGATCTCAAATCTCCCAAAATACTTCACCGATAGCTTTGAAATTTTCACACAACGTAGCACTAGAACAGGCAAATGTTTTTATGTTTTCTCATACCTACTATTATATAGTTGTCACACCTGAGACAGGTAAAAATATGCTTTGCTTCAAAATAGCACCATCTACTGGATGTCCAAATAGCACACACTATATGTGCTCGGAGCTTGGCTCTCTTCCTCACGGTCTCCATCCCCAGATCTCTCCACTCTGCCCCTCCCTCCAGGTCCAAGATACCTGTCTTGCTGGCCTCTCTTCTTTCAATAGAAGAGGCCCCCCAGTGGCGCCACCTTCTTGCCCAGCTGCAGAGCATCACAAAGGGAACCCTTCATGCTTGGAGCTACCATTTGGGATCCGCAGCCTGGTCGTCCCCCACTGAGCCACCCTGCCTGACTCCCTCCAGAGCAAAACTGGGAGAAGAAGAGCAGGAAAGGAGTAGTGGAGCAAGTAGGGAAATCCAGGCTGGGGAGAGGGCCAGGGCACGGAGGAAAGGAGGCAGGCAATATCACGTATCATGTTCTGCAGTTGATGTTGGTTGGTGGTGGCAGGCCTAGCAGTTGGTGATGGAAGGGTTAATGTAAGTCTTAGTTCTAAATGGTTGAGTAATCTGGAATTAAGAGTTAACAGGTGAAAGCAATTAAGGGTGGAGGCATGCAAGAAATAGGTTGCAGCTGGGTGTTAAAGAGCTAGCTTTTGGGCTGATCTTTGGGAGAAAAGTATTTGTTTTATTTTGGTGGTAGATGCTGCTGGTTTTCCCCCAGGTTTGTGGATTTTTGGTGTCCTGACCTGTCTCCTGAACTCTTGAAACCCTGGAACCTTGAATCTTTGGACTAGGTTTTGACTATTGTATAGACTCTTATTCCCTGGACTTTGTTCATTGAACTCTCGGCATTTGACCAGTTGACTGGACCCTTTGACTACGGTGTAGCGTTTGCTATCAGTTTTTGTTTTATATTCTCAGGCTGAGTGCTATCTTTATGTTTTATACTTTGGACTATTAAAACAGCCAGAAAGTAAATGCTGCTTTAATTAAACTGTTTGTTAGAAACTGGGTGTTTGTTTGATTCACCTCTGCCTGAATATCGGCAGAGCCCTGGCATCATACCAGGCAAGGAGATAGACCCAGCCCAAGTCCTGGGCTGCCGTAGCCTCAGGAAGGGGGAGGCTCAGGAGAACAAAAGGATTGAATGGAAGAAAGGAGGAGGTAGGTAGGGGGGAAGGAAAGGGTTTCCCCAAAATGCACTTTTTCTTATTACTGTTATTACTAGCTGTACCAGCCATGCCTTGCTGTGGCCAACCTTCCCTCCCTCTTTCTCTCCTTCTTTCTTTCTCCCCTTCCTTCCCTCTTTTTCTTTTCCTTCTTTCCCTTCTTCTTTCTTCCTTCTCTACCTGTGTCTTTCCTCCCTTCGTTTGATCTTTGGTTCTTTCCTTTCTTCTCTCCTTCCTTCCCTCTCTCTTTTCTTCCTTCTTTCACTTTTTTAATTTCCTTCTCTCCTTCCTTTGTCTCTACCTTTCTTTCTTTCTTTCTTTCTTTCTTTCTTTCTTTCTTTCTTTCTTTACTTCTCTCCTTCCTTCTTTCCCTCTTTCCCTCCTTCTCTTCTTCCTTCCTTCCTTCCTTCCTTCCTTCCTTCCACCTTTCTGTGTATATGTGTTTTGTGTGTGTATATATGCATGTATGTGTGTATATAATTGTGTATGTGTATATATGTGTGTGTTTGTGTATATATGTGGTTTTGCACATGTGTTGTAATGTATTTTTGTTCCTTGGCTTTTTAGTCTCTTCCTCTGTGTTTCAGTGTTTTTATGAATGATGGTCACTTGTTGGCCTGATAGGTGTATTGTGTCCAAATTTGGTGTTAATTCGTCCAGTGGTTTTTGAGTTATGTTAATCCCACAAACAAACATGACATTTTTATTTATATAGATGATGATGATGATGATTATTATATAGACCAGTATCATTATTTTATTATCATTACTATATAGACCAGTATTATTCTTATATAGATAATTATTATTAATAAAGGACATTAAAGGACTTCCTTCAACTTGGAAAATCTACACAGAGACTTTGCCTGGTAAGGACCACTCGGGCTAACCATAAAGCAAATTGGAGCCAGGAGTAGGGGCCCCATGCCAGCAAAGCCTAAAACAGATTGCCCAGGGACGGGTCAAAGGATTTCCCTTATAGAAGAAAGATACAGTTCATTAAGCAAGTTGCCTGTCCCTTGTCGACAGATTGAAAGGGTACTTAACTTTCCAGAGTTTTAAAGTGTTTAGTCTGTGTTTTGAAGATTTTGTCCTTAATAAAGAACTTTGTTAGACTTATTTTAAGCCTCTAAACTTTGTATAGGGAAATCTAAAGGGCCTCTCAGCTGAGGCACCCCGGCGTCCCGCTGGGCATACAGACTTTCCCACAGGCCCAGCATGCGACAGCACAGTGTGAAACTCCTATTGGTATAAAAGAAGATTCACAAGCATGTATTGCGATGGCTGAAACAGAAAACTTTAAAAACAGAACAAAATATATTGGAGTGAA